ATAATAGAAAAAATGAAAAGAAAGAAAAAGAAAAGCCAGAAGAAGTCTTTGTAATACTGAGAAGAAATGTTATGTGATCTACTTTCTTAAAGATTTTGGTGTTGGTACAATTTAATGGCCCAAGGTTGTATAGTATACCAGATAATACCTTTTACTAGACACACCTTGCTAGTTGTAGTTGGATATTATTGCCTTAATTCTACATGACACAAATCAAAACAGCTGCTGGAAACATTCCTCTGAGATTCTGGTCCATAGTGACATGATCACATCGCACAGTTGTTGATTTAATCCCAAGCTCTCATTCCACCACATGCCAGAGGTGCTCTATTGGACTCAGAGCTTGTGACCTTGGAGGTCATCTGAGTACAGTGAACTCAGTGTCATGTTTTTTGAAGGATGCCAAGTTGGTACTAAAGGGCCCACACCATTTCATCTCCACCAACAGCATGAACTGTTGAAACAAAGCAGGAGGGATTGATGCTTTCATGTTGTTAAATTCTGTCACAGCATCAAAACTCAGACCAGGAAGTGTGAATTGTCGCCTCAGTTTATTGTTAGCTGTCAGGAGTGGCACACAGTGTGCTCTTCTGCTTCAAGATTTACTGTTTTGTGTGTTCAGAGATGCTGCATGGTTGTAAAGAGCAGTTATTTGACTTACTGTTGCCTTCCCATCAGCTTGACACAAACTGGCTAATCTCCTCTGCCATTAATAAAACATTTTCATCCAGTATACTACACTAGATTGGCTCTCTTTCAGACCATTCTCTGTAAACCCTGGAGGTGGTTGTGTGGGTAAATTCCAGTAGAGGAGTGACACACTCAGACCAGCTCGTCTGGTACCAACTACCATGCCATATCCAAAGGCACCAATCCACCTTTCAGTTTGAACCTCAGCAGGTCATCTTGACCATGTCGGCACGCCTGAATGCACTGAGCTGCTGCCATGTGAGTGGACTGTGAGTGTATTTTAATGAATATAAGCCAGGTTGAGAATGTTGTACAGCCACAAAATGTCTAAAAACGATGGAAAATAAATATATAATGTGTTTTGTTCCCTTTTTTTCACATCTGCAGCTGAGTTAACAGATTACTATACATCACTTCAAAAATCAGAAATGATACTTGCAAAATATTCAGTTAATCTATTTATTCACATTAAAATTTGACAGTCTTTGCGAATAATGATGAAATGCACTCATGAGTTAAGGTCTGCAAAAAGTCATTTGTCCATTTCAAATCGACAGAGAGACAAAAGCTAAATAATAAGCTTCCTAGTTTACGGAATAACAGAGTTGATTAAATATGAGCTGCAAATACATGAGATGTTGCCTGGAATGACAACTCTGTGTGACTCATTTGGGATTTTCATACAAAGAGACAAGAGAGGAAGGGACAAGCAGCCTGGCATTGTGATTTGGCAACACTACATGAAAAAGGTTTATTACTAAAAAGCTCAGAACAGCAGCTGGAGGAGGAGGAGGAGGCACCATTTACAGAATTACAATGTCTGCTCCTCTTTAAGGGAACAAGTCAGAGTAGTCATGATGGATGTGCGCAGAAGTACTCAAATCTTTTATATAACTACAACTATCAATACACCTATTGGGAATCATAGTTCATTAAAAGTAAGTCTCGATATTAAATTTGATTAAAGGCGGTGGTGGAGGATGTGTTCAGATCCTTTCTTCATTGCAAATAAAAGCCCTGCAGGAAATTATTTATTTTATAAGAGCATATAATAAGATATAACCCCTCCCCCAAATTAATAACAGCCAATTAAAATGGACATAAAATGACTCTATGTATTTGCCAAATATATTTTATCAGTTGACCACGGGACAGTTTAATCGATTCACCTCTGCTTTTATATTCTAATTAGCAAATGTACATTCTATTTTAATTTATCTTGTTTTGTATGGAAAAAAAATCTGAAATTTAGAGTAGAAAAGTAGAATAACTGGAGCTGTCAAATAAGTGTAAAGGGATAAATAATACAGTGGAGGAAATAATTATTTGATCCAGAGCAAAAATGAACAGTCTCTAATTTTTCTGTTAGTTTCATTTTAATCTAGAAAACCCCCCCACACTACATAAAAGTTATACATTGATTTGCAACCCTTTTGGCGAGCACAGTGGTGAGACGTTTCTTGTACTCGGTTGCCAGGTTTGCACGTCTCAGGAAGCATTCAGGCACTTGTTTTCCTTTAGGTTTTTTGGCTGTTCGAAGCTTCAGCGTCTTGCACAGATTTTCTATAGGACTGAGGTCTGGAGACTGGCTCGGCCACTCCATGACCTCAATGTTTTTCTCCTTTAGTCACTCCGTTGTTGCCTTATTGGTATGTTTTGGATTATTGCCATGCTGGAAGGCTTGTTCTCAATCCATCTTCAGTGTTCTGGCAGAGGAAAGGAGGTTCTCTTCCAAAACTTTCTGGTACCTGGTCCCCTTGATTGGCGCCTCAATGCAGTGAAGTCGTCCTGTACCCTTAGCACAAAAACATGTTGCCACATCCGTGCTTGACTGTGGGGATGATATTCTTCAGGTCCTCCAAACACAGTGGGTTGAGTTGGTGCCATATAGCTTGGTTTTGGTTTCGAACCGCAGAACTTTCTCTGAATCATTTAAATGTTCACCGCCAAACTTAAGACAGGCATGTACAAATGCCTGCTTGAGCAGGGGGACCTTTCCGGTGCTGCAAGATTTCAATCTATTACAGCGTAGTGTGTTACCAGTTTTGTCCTTGATGACTGCTCAGCCCCTGTAGTTTTGAGCTGATCCCCCACCTTGCTCATGATGATCCTCACCCCATGAGGTAAGGTCGACTGAATGTCATCTTAAATGTCTTCAATAACTTCTGCATAACTGCACCAACAGCTGTCATCTTCTCACCAAACTTCATTGCTCATTCCAGCATTGTGCAGGTCTACAGTCTTGCTCCTGACATCCTTTGACAGCTCTTTGGTCTTTCTCCTGGTGGTGGAGAAGTTTGAATGGGACAGAATGGAATGAACATCTGTCCACAGACACCAGAAATCACATTAGTAAGTAAGTAAGTAAAGTTTATTTATATAGCACCTTTCACAGACATATGTCACAAAGTGCTTTACAAGGTAAAAACATAATAGAGTCATAAAATACATCATAAAAACCCTGGTCTAATTAAAAGCTTTTTGAAATAAAAATGTCTTTAGCTGTTTTTTGAAGGTCTCCACTGAGTCCAAACCCCGTAGAAATGGGGGAAGCATGACACTAAAAAACAAACAAAACCTCATAAATAAACTCACCTCTTTACGTCCATGCTGAATACAGCTGCACATTATCATATTTAAAAGTTAAAAACATTTTTAATGTAAACACTTGTGTAAAATGCTTACTTCTACTATAGTTTCTAGATGTTTTTTCAACAAGTAGATTTGACTAGAATTGTTAAAATATTTTCCTGTAATAATAATTCCCTTAACAGTTTAACTAAAGGAATGTTTGTTAACCAATCTAAAATTTACTGTGATGCTCTTATATTAGCACAAACATCAGCTATAATTATTTTACCATTTTTCTTTGCTAACTGCTTAATAGCTACAGTCAAGTTTTGGTCAGCATCATTTCAGTTAGCTGCTGAAATAAAAACAAAAACAAAAAACAATAACTTGTGCTTACCCTGCAGCAGAAATGCATTCTAATGTTTATACTGCCTGAAAATGGTGGAGAGACGATAATAACCTCACCTGAAATCCCAAGTGAATTCAACAGGACATAGAGAGAAAAATGCAAATATAAATCTGATGAGTCACAGAAGTTGCTTCATGATAAACACAGACTGGATAATTTGGAAGGTTTGTTCAGACATCTATATTTGGCTGATGTGACAGCAGTGACTGACATGTGGCAGATGCATGGTCACCAGGAGGGGAGGGGCCCTGTGGGGTCATGACAGGTCAGCGGGTTAGAGGAATACTGATAGGAATGCCCTGAGCGACAATCAGGGGTGCAACTCATCATGAGGAAACAACAAGAAGGATCAGCAGGTCCCCTGGGAGGCATGACAGTGGACAACAGGCCCAGTGTGTCTGCACACTCACAGTGATTCAGAGGAGAGGAGGGGGAAGCTGCGTTCACAAAAACTCATCTAAACAAGGAGATACAATGTGTGATACACAATAAACACAGATTATTACGCAGTGGGGGGAAAAGCTTGTGGAAAGACTTGGTTTTCAGCTTTAATTGATCATAAAATGTGCAAACACAATCTGCTAGAAAACACACACTCACTAGTTTTTCACCTATCTGGAGACAGATAAACAACTCAGGTTCTGGTGGAAAAACTGGTGAATATTTCTACCTTGCTTATAGCTGGAAATTAGACCTTTTTAAGTCACTCGTTGTCTTCACAGAACTGCTTCAGCTCAGCGTTATTCTCAGACTCTCTGAGGAGTCTGGATGCTTGTTTTATGCCTAAGCAGGATAGTGTGAAGACAGTCTGCAGGCAATCATGGATGGCCCGTCTACTTGCAGAGAGTGTTTGCTGTCAGAAGGGGGCAGTGTCAAAAGCATGATTCAACTAGTCTGTGGGTCACTCTTGGTTGTGCTGTTGCCGGTCGATCAGCCAACTACAGAGAAGAGTGAAGCTATAACCTACGAAGAACTGAAGTGAAAGGCCGGTCCTTATTCTATATCTCAGTAAATTTCATTTCTTTATTTATTATTAATTTATTCATCGCCTGATGTCAACCAAATAAAACATGGAGACACCTGTAAACCGAGACAGTGAAATCCTGATATTACAGGAGGCTTTCTATAGGCCACTGTCACCTTATGCTCGGTCCCTGACCCTATAGCCACAAGCTGTGGGTAGTAAGTAAAACAGTGAGATTATAGATACATATGGCAGAAGTTAGCTTTTTCTGAAGGATGTCTGGGCTCTTCCTTAGAGATGAGGATGAAGCTTGGTCACTTGGAAGGGGCCTAGTAGTAGAGCTACTACTCATCCACATTGAAAAGAACCAGCTGAGTTCCTTTCAATGTGGTATTTTAGGCATGTCTAACTGGGAGGAGGCCCTGAGAAAAACCAAGGAAACCCTGAGAGATTATGTCTCTCAGCTGGCTTGCCTTCCCATCTCCCAGAAACATGTGGGTAAGACAGGGTGATCTGGGCATTTCGGTTTAGATTACTGGGAAAATGGATGGATGGATTTAACCAGGTTTAATGAGAAGAGCTGGTTTAAAGATTAGCACATGTTTTCCAACTCAAGCCCACAGAGGTCTGACATAAATCATAAATGACAGACTTTTAATGTGTCTCAAACATTCTTTGAGTTCCTCACTTTTACCAGGAATTTGGCGATGTTTGTGTTGATCTGTGTGTCCTGGATAGTTGGCTGTCTGGTTAGTCGCTGCAGCTGCTTGCAGAAAAAGACCAGTTCTCTGCAGGAGCAGTCGGGCCTTCCTTCACAGCTGCAGGGTTTCGGTACAACGACCAAGGACTCCACCACAGCAAAGCAACTGCTCGTTTCTATTACTGAATTGTTTCTTTTTAATGTGGCACTGCACTCCAAACTTGTAACCAGCATGTTCTTATAAACACAACACTTATATTCGTTTACACCACCACAAAACAAAGCAAAACCTCATCGTTTCTATATTTTAAAAAAGAGGAAACAAATGAAAAACACTGTCAGGTTGTCTTTTGTAGTTTTATCATCAGATGAAGCAGAGCTAGTTGCTCCTTGGTGCTATAACATAAAAGAGAAAGAGATATAAGCAGGTGTATTTAGGTAGGTGTAAGTTTAGCATGTTTCTTAAACAGTCAAGGTCATGAGTAGGGCTGCAATGATTCATCGCAGAACTCGAGTAACCTGATTACAACATCCTCTAGGCAAATTCTTTTCTTTGATGTTTGGTTTAATCCATTTAAGTCGAGCGAAGTTTGCGACTAAAAATAGACTTGCAATAAAAAGGTATTTAGGGGTGCACGTCAATTAAAAGTATTTGAACATGCCCATGTCGCTCCCACTTTTCTCCACAAAGAGCCTTGTAGAGGCTAAACCTACTCTGAAGCCACTGAGGTGTTTGATGGGCGGGGTCGACGCGATGCTACTGTTATGAGCAAAACCTGTGGTAATGAGAAAGTCCAATAACTCCTGCTCATCATCGGTTCCATTTGTTGTTCCACCGTTCATCTTAGTATGCAACGTGTTTGCAATTAAACATGTAACGGTAATTAAATATACCTTAATAACCTTAAATACAACTAACCACTCTTACTAGATTTTATCATGTCGTCTCAACCAGAACAAATTAAGTTGCTGAATTTCTTTTTTTTGAGTGCAGACACACGCTTACTCATTCACAAGTGCATTTAGACACATAGAAATACACAAATACACATACCCATGTTAATGGAATAATCAATGGATATAAAATAATCAACAGCTGCAGTCCAAGTCAAGCATTAAAGCTAGGAGCAATCTTGGGATTTTAGTTGCCTGAATCTGCCTGTTACCTCCTGTAGAGTTGTCAGTCCAAGAGTACCAGTACCCCAGCGCAAGGAACCTCTCCGAACACTTACTCGTGTGATGCACATTTCTAAATTGTGTTTATTTTGTTCTCACAATGGCTGGATAGCTGGTGGAAATCTGGTGAAAGACTTCTAGCTGACTGGTTCTTGTTTAAACAGTTTTTGTGTGGTTGGGTTCCGTGCTTTGGCTTTGACCTGTTGAAGGAGAAAAATGGTTTAAACTCAAGCAGCACCCACAGGGCAGGGCATAGTGTTGTTAAATGAAGTGTAACCTGTAGAAATCTCCCACTTTAATAACACCACAATCGTATTTGCTTTGAAAAGTTACACTGAGAAATCCTCCAGCATCTTCAATTGTGTCACACAAAAGTTGTTCTAGAAACAAAAGCTCAAACCTGTGCCCAACATTATCTTTACTTTTATTGGTATCAGATGATGTAATCAGTCTATTGACCTCAGCCAAAATTAATATGAAGCCACGTGAAGTATTCCTCATAGGAAGCTCTTTTGTCAACTGTTAGATAATGCTGGGATAATGATGGTGATTAAAAAAACAAACCGGTCCATAAAGCATGGGTGCTGCTGGTATTAAAGCCAAATGAGAGCAAAGAAGCACAAAGATGTTCTGAAACGCATGCACATTTTCAAAAGTTTCCACTTTTTAATCAAAGCTGATATATGCAAAACAAATGCAAAATTGAAGGACCTTCACTGGTGGTGTCTAATTTACACACAAAATATGGAACTGGTACTCTTTAACAGCAAGATGTAAAGCATTGCACAAAATAAAAAAGTAATGATAAAATACTAATGTAAATCACTTTATTCCGCTGGTGCAATAATAACCTAATCAATGCAGTACACAAGTTGTGCTTGTTGCATGTTTCAGTACTGCCCACAGTGGGTTTATGATGATACATCAGTTGGAAATCAGTTGTTGGAACATGGAAAACACATTTACTTATTTTTTACCTGATTTCCTTGATTTAATCAGGGGTTGACTTTAATGTGTCTCAAACACAGGCATTCTCATGACATATAACTGACCCACGTGTTCAATCATGAAACATTTGGAAACAATGTCCTGGCATGTTATTGCACACAGTTCATTTGAGTTCCTCACTTTTACAAGGAATTTGGCGATGTTTGTGTTGATCTGTGTGTCCTGGATAGTTGGCTGTCTGGTTAGTCGTTGCAGCTGCTTGCAGAAAAAGACCAGTTCTCTGCACGAGCAGTCGGGCCTTCCTTCACAGCTGCAGGGTTTCGGTACAACGACCAAGGACTCCACCATGGCAAAGCAACTGCTCGTTTCTATTACTGAATTGTTTCTTTTTAATGTACCACTGCACTCCAAACTAGTAACCAGCATGTTCTTATAAACACAACGCTTATATTCGGTTACACTGTCACGATGTGGCTGGCACCACGAAAGTGTTTCATTCTTCTGCAACGCTGCAATTTCTCTTGGTGTCAAAACTCTCTGAGAGACACTTCCCAGAGTCACTAACTCTTCTCCAGTGTAATTTAATGACTTTGTAAAACGATCACAACTTGCCATGGAACAGAAGAAGTCTTTGATTTCTGTGCTGGCGTCCTGAAGGGTAGCACTTCCTTGTCTTATTATTTTCTCATATGAAAAGAAATTCTTGAAAATCTGTAATGAAATTGACTGCGTACCAGAGTACATCTGCAAC